AACCTAGAAATAATTTCCCGACAGCGAGAACAATGAATCGGTGGAACTCCTTGCCTCTAGAAGTTGTGGGTGCTCCAACAATGGAGTCCCGCAACTTCAAGAGGCAACCTGTTCCACTGAGAGGTTTCTTCTCCCTCTCCTCACAATTGGACCACTGCTACACTGCAATCCCATGTTTGGGTTGAATTCAGCAAAGCAATTCCTGTCTGTTTTCAGAATGGCACCTTCAGAATTCCGACACATTTCCTCTACTGGAATACAGTTTTCACACAAGATATGAACACCTTTTAATTGTGGAAATGAGGAAAGTTTATATCATTGTTTCTCAGCTGGTTACGTTGAAATGAAACTAGTGATCGCTCACAAGGCAATTCTTTACTAACTGGATTTTGAAAGCTGGGTTGTATATAGTCACCACCAGCACCTTGTGGCCTGTTAGGCAGCAATAGGAGGAAATACACCACATTAAATAACTTTTTATACATTGGATGGCCTTCCCCTAACCTGGTTGCCCTTCAGCTCCCTGATTCCTCAACAGTTGTCAATCCTGATTAGACCATGATCTTTAATTTAAGGCTCAGATTAAGGTTATTTCCGGTGCCATAATATGTATATCTGTACAGGTAGTCCTCGACTTAACAACCTTTTGTTTAGTGACTGTTGGACGTTAAAAATGGACTGAAAAATAGTAGCGCTTTTCACACTTAACGACCATTGCAGCATCCGCATGGTCAGAATTCAGCTGTTTAGCAGCTGACGGACAGTTGCCGTGACCCAGGGCCAGGCTTTTGCCGCCTTCCGACAAGCAGAATCAAAGGGGAAGCCAGGTTCACTTAACAACCGTGTTGCTGACTGAACCACTTGCAGGGCTTCATTTAACAACGGCCTCAAGAAAAGTGGTAAACGGGGGGGGCGAATGTTACGTAAGAAAATGTCTCGCTCAGCAACAGAACTTGTGGGCACAAGTCGGGGGCTGCATGTACACCTTGACCAGGTAATAAGAAACACCACAGTTTTACTCGCTTACTTTGGCAGGTTATACCACCCCGGCTGCCCCTCAGGCTTACAGCCAGCCCGTCCAAGGGTACGGCACCGCCGCTTATGACACCACAACTGCCACAGTTACCACCACACAGGCTTCCTACGCCGCTCCATCTGCTTACGGAACCCAGCCTGCCTATCCTACCTATGGACAGCAGCCAACAAGTACTACAGCTGCAAGGTAAAATATATGGATTTGTTTTTTTTAAGTTCCTAGGGTTGCCTCTGTTCTGCTTTTTCCTTGGATTGCAAATGCTCCTCTGAATTACTCTTCAGTCTCTCTCCTCTGCCCCATCTCCATTAATCCATAAGTGAAGCAGCTCATGTATAAAATTCACCCTTGTGTTGGGTGGAAAGAGATCTGGATATTATTATTTTTTAAAATAGTTTGCCTTGGTGATTGGGGCAGATTGCTGTCTTGGTCCAGGGCCAGTTACTAAGATGGTTGTTTGGTACAAGGCCAGTTACTAAGAGCTACAGACGTGCCTCCCTACAACACACACACAGAATGAGAAAGCATAGGTCATGATGGCAGAACTTTTTGGCACTGAGTGCCAAACCAGAGTGTGTGAGTGCCAGCGCGTGCGAAGACCAGCTAGCTGGCGTGCATGCACATGCCAGAAACCAGAAGAGCAGCTGGCAATGGCGTGCATGCCTACAGAGAGGGCTCTGTGCCACGCCTCGCATGCGGCATTCCCGTGCATGACACCACCACCCCTTATGGCACGCAAGCCAAAAAAGGTTCACCATCGCTGGCCTAGATATTAAAAGGTGACGTTTGAAGCTGAAGAATTATAACAAGAGGCAGAGTATTTTAACAACTACATTACGTGAGAGGAAAGTGCTCTTTTTTTTTTACAGCTTGTTAACATGATGGGGTAGCCAGTCCTTTACCAGAAAAGCAGGGAGAAAAGGCTTTGTATAAAATATGCTTTTCTTTCCTGTTTTCCCCATTTAGACCCCAGGATGGTAGCAAACCTACAGATACCAGCCAAGCTCAGACTAGCTCAACAGGCTACACTCAACCGAGCCTAGGATATGGCCAGAGTAACTACAGTTACCAGGTTCCTGGAAGTTACCCAATGCAGCCGGTGACTGCACCGCCCGCCTACCCGCCAACCAGGTGAGCGTTCGCACCTTCTCTCCTCCCTCTCTGTGTTGGGTTTCAGCTGGATGAAATGTTCTGGGATTGGGGGCGGCCTTTTGAACAAGGAAGCATTGAAGCTGAGGTCCCTTCTGAAGTTTAAACTATCCTGGGCCTTTGGCGACCCAAAATTTAAATGTCTTGGCATCCCAGATCATGTCTTGGATAGTGAGGCTGTGTTTTGTACAGCAGGCTAGCTCAAAGCCCAACAACAAACACTGTGGAACATTAAGAAGGGGTGCTTTTTAGACTCCAGTCCCCTCCTGCCCCCCACACCAAAGTAATTCAGTTGTATTGCACTTTATTAGTGCAATTAATTAGTGCATTATTACAAGTTTTACTAAGGCTGTTGAAGGACGCTGTGGCTCAGTGGCTAAGGCGTTGGTTGAGCTTGTCGATCAGAAAGGTCAGCAGTTCGAATCCCTAGTGTCGCATAACGGAGTGAGCTCCCGTGACTTGTCTCAGCTTCTGCCAACCTAGCAGAAAGCACGTAAAAAATGCAAGTAGAAAAACAGGGACCATCTTTGGTGGGAAGGGAACAGCATTCCGTGCGCCTTCGGCATTGAGTTATCCTGGCCACATGACTACAGAGGCGTCTTCGGACAGTGCTGGCTCTTCAGCTTTGAAACGGAGACGAGCACCGCCCCCTAGAGCTGGGAACGACTAGCACATATGTGCAAGGGGAATCTTTATCTTTACTTTAAACCAAGTCTCTCTAATTGTGGGTTTCAATATTCAGGAGATATAAGCATATTCTCTCTAGTAATTAAGGCACCAGAATAGATTACCAGGAGACTGTGAGTTTAAATCCCACCTTAGCTATGAAAACCGGTGGGGTGACTTTGGGCCAGTCACTCTCTCTTAGTCCAATCTACCTCACAGGGTTGTTGCTGCAGGGAAAATCGGAGGAAAATGGGTTGGATCTGTTCACTGTCTTAAGTTATTTGTAAAAATAATAAAAGACAGGATATAAATACTACATTTTTCAGAGTATAAGATGCACCAAGATTTTGAAGAGGCAAATTTTTTAAAAAAAGTTTTTACACTCTGCACACCTCCCAAAAACAGCCCTGTACCGTTCCCCCCCCCCCCACGCAAGGGCATGCATAGACTTTAGGAGGCTTATAGGGTGCTCAGGGGGGGGATCAGCCCATTTTTCGCCCATTTCTGCCCTCCCCAGCCCCCAGGAGCTCTCTGAAAGCCTCCTAGAGGCTCTGCACAGCCATTTTGGTGAAGTGGACGGGGTTTCGGAGGCAAAAAAAATGCTGTATTCAGTGTATAAGACGCACCCAGATTTTCAGCCACTTTTTTGAGGGGAAAAAGGTGCGTCTTATATGCTTCGAAAAATACGGTAATACCTTGATAGGTGAATAAAAATGCCAAATTCAGGCTGGCTGTGCAGTGAACCACAATAACAATTTTATTCCACCCCTGGGTTTTTAACTTCAAGGGAGACAATCTTGGGAACATTTCACTTTTTGGACTGTGTTGGTCCGGTTAGAGAAAAAACAATCTTTAGCAAGGACAAATATTTTTTTTAAAAGTAATGTGGCGCAGTTTGTAATGGGGAACCAAGGATTGGGATTATTTGAATACTCCATGTCCCGCATCCTTTAAATAACAAACATCCTTTAGCCACGAAAATGCATCAAAGCCAGGCATTACTTTGATAAGGCTGTCAGTTTATGAACCCTTTAAAAACCTGGAAGAAGAGAGGAAAGAGAGAGGGAAGGAAAGGTAGGATAGGAAAAGAAAGGAGGGAAGGAAGGAGAGAAGGAGGGAGGGAAGGAAGGAGAGTGGGAAAGAAGAAACAAGGGAAGGAAAGAGGGAGGGATGGGAGATGATATCTAACCTCTGATGTCTATAAGGATTTTGATATTATGGGAACGTCTTGAAACG